CAAGATGGGCATGGCTTTTTTTTTTTTTTTTTTTTTCGAGACAGGGTTTCTCTGTGGCTTTGGAGCCTGTCCTGGAACTAGCTCTGTATACCAGGCTGGTCTCGAACTCACAGAGATCCGCCTGCCTCTGCCTCCCGAGTGCTGGGATTAAAGGCGTGCGCCACCATCGCCCGGCATGGGCATGGCTTTTTAAAGGAACCGCGAGCTGACACCCATGGTGTACTTATAACCCTTGACTGCCACTTGCTTCAGCCAGTGCTCCACTGTCTGAAAAGGGCAGGAAGCCAGACCCAGAAAAGTAGATCCAAGTTGGGAAGCTCTTGCTTAGGGGAGGGCGAGGACCAAGGGTCCGTGAGATCCCATCATGGGGCACTCTAATAACTATCCTGGAGAAGCAGAGATGTTCTGAAGAGACTCTCGTGCCTGCCTCCTCGGCTATCAGAGGATTGGGATAATGGTCCCCAAGGGACTGGGATTTCCCTGGAGGAGCCTCACGTCAGGGAAAACGGGCTTCCAGACGGACTACCATCTCTAGAACAGGCTTTTGCTCTGGCTGATGAGTCAATAAAATTGTACGGACAGAAAGTAGAGTGGTGTTCACTGGAGTCTGGGAGAGGGCAGGGGGTGCCAGGCTTTGGTGGGGCCAATGTTTCAGTCTGGGAGGATGGGAGTGATGGCTGGACACCACTGTGAATGTCCCCAATGCCATTGAACTCGGCACTCACACATGGTAAGAACGGTCAATTTTGTGTGTATATGTTAGCACAATAAAAAGTATTGAATATATCCTGGAGAACATAATTTGAAGCCTCAGAGAGGAATAGGAAAGGCAAAATTCCAAGCTCATATTTTTCAAAATATCCTGTTGGGAGTTAGTGAGTAACAATGAACTAGATTTTACTCTTAGACATTTTGGTGGACATTTCTAGGAACAAAGAGAGGAGAGTGTGACAGTCTCATTTCTGTCTCCATTCTAGAAATTTCCATTGGTTACTATATCAGTAAGGGTTCTCTAGAGAAACAGAACTGATAGAATGATTCTCTCTATATAAAACGGGCTGTATTAGAATGACCAGCCCAACACTGGCTGTCTCCCAATGCAAAGTCTAAGAATTCCATAGTTGTTCAGTCCACAAGGCTGGCTGTCTTACAGATGGCCTTCAGCATGTGTCGGAATCCAGAAGAAATAGGCTCTAATTGCGTGAAGGAATGAACTGGCAGTGTGAGGAGGGCAAGCAGGAGGTGATCGATTTAGAGGATTTAGAGGAGGTGATGGATTAGAGAAACCCTTCACGGCTCTGTCCACAGGTGTGGGTTTTGGTTGATTCCCGGGTACAGTCAAGTTGACAACCAAGAGCGGCCATCACAGTTCCCCTCACTGGTGCTCATATGAGGATGTGCATGTATGCTCGTTTGCAGGTATGGTGATGGCAGAAAAGCTGGCTATTTTATCTGTAGTGTTTCTGTGCTATAATATCATTTACCTTTATTATTTTTTAAATAATGTGGCTATGTGCGGTGTGTGTGGGGTTGTGCACCGATGAGTCCCAGAGTCTAGAAGAGGTCAGTGGATCCTTTGGGACTGGAGTGACAGACAATCGTGAGCTACTGTGTGGGTGCTGGGGATTGAACCCGAGTCCTCTGGAAGGACATCCAGTGCTCTAACCACTGAGCCATCTCTCCAGGCCTGCAGCGTGCCTTCTTCACTCTCAGTCATCTGTCTGGCGGCTTTGTGCTGTACTGGCAGTAAGGTGGGAAGAGCAAGCTTCTAGACTAGGCCTCAGTCTTCCTTGTCACTTTGAGGTTCTCACTGAACGACTCATCATGGCCTTAATGTGCGGCCCCTTTTCCCAAAAGTCCAGTGCGCTTCATCTGTGTCTGAGGGGACAGTCAGTGCACGTGTGTCCGTCCCCACTTTCCACCAAGCTCAGCATCTCCCTCCACTCTGGTCCCAGGGGTTTGTGTCGAGATAGTGTGGACACAGCACTCATGCCAGGACAATGAGAACCTTGGGCACAAGCGGAAGTTCCCTTTCTCAGGGCAACTGAGGAAGAAATATTAATCTAATTCTATCATTATTGGTTTTAGATTTTGTAGTCAGGTAAAGGCTTTTCTGTGTGGCCACAAACTCAGAATAGGTGGCGAAGAAGATAGTCAGCCATGCTTGCCACCGGGAGCAGAGCTCCTTCAGGCCAGGAATCGTGACCAACTCTGTTTCTTGCCCCCAGTGTTCTCTTTAGCTCTGTGGCCAGTTTAAAGCATCTGATGTTGCTTCAGTCACACAGGCGCAGCCTCCCACTGCTCTCGGATTCATCTGGACTGAGCAGCGGCCGCTGTTTGAGGCTCTCTGGGTGAAGCGTTAGTTCTTGGATTGTAAGTGGCCTCCTTGAGAACCTGCCTCCTCCCCCAATTGCCCAACTCCCTCTCCCAGCATTTTCCCAGCCAGGCTTTTCAGGGGCTTGTTGGACCAGAGAGGCCCTTTGACATCTAGACTGGTCTCAAGCACGTGTCTGTCCCTTCCCTTCAATCTTAGAGCCATGGGGCTGGGTGGGGGAGGTGAGGTTCTGTGCTTTGCTCCCCAGAATCCTCTGTATCTTCTGGAGCAGGAGGCTGCTCCAGGCCTCTCTCCTGGCTCAGCTATTCCTAGGTCAGCTGGGCAGAATGAAGTCATCCCTGTCTTTTCCACAGCAGGGCCATCACATCTGTTTCCTGGCCACCCTATGACGCCCTCACTTTGGGCCTTACCCTGGTGCTGCCTTGCTTTCCTTCCTGTCTGGCTGAGCCTCTTTCCAGAGCTGACTGTGCTCAGTGAGGAGGAAGTGTGACCTTCTCCAGCTGAGCCATATCGCAGCCCTTCCTCAGCTGCTGCCAGAACAAACCCATGAGGTCATATTTCAGGAAGGATATATGAGTGAGAACTGATTTGTGGTCCCAGAGGACCTCAAAGACTCTGAGGGAAAAAAAAGTGAAACAAACAAAAGCAGAAACAAAAAGATTAAAAAAAAATAAAAGGAAGAAAAATAAAATTGTGTGTGTGTGTGTGTGGGGAGGGAATGGGGGTAGGGTTTGCACACTTTGGTTGTGGAAGGCTAGAAATCTTCCTAGCAACCTCATTTGGACCCTGCAGAGGTTTTTTCTGCTTCTTCTAGCTCATTCCAGAAGTTCCTTCCAGGCCTGGATGTCAGTGCCTCTGTCCAATCCTCTACCGTCTAGCACCTGAGCATTAGAATAAACACCTGTGGTCACCTCCACAGGAGATGGGACATATGAGCCTGTAGTTAGCTGCAGGAGTGAGGTCTATCTTGTGTCCCATTGTGTTTGATGTGTGTGTGTGTGTGTGTGTGTGTGTGTGTGTGGCTGCTAATAGAGCTAGAATCCAGGGCCTCTTACGTGATAGGCAGATGTGTTATCATGAAGTCATGCCCCTAGCCAGGTAGACACTTTTCTTTGTCTGTCCTTAACCTGTGGGCAGTAGGCCTGTGGCTCTCCAAGACTGCATGGCCCTGGCTAGAGCAACTGGTGTTTGTGGCCTCAGGACCCCAGGAGGGCAACACAGAAAAGACCACACAAGACATTTGGGAAGTTATTCTCTATTTAGTGCTGACCTTTGAACAACATGAGAGTTACTTAGGTGATAGTATTTGGGTTACAAAATAATTGGAAGTCTTTCAATATAGTTTCACAGGGCTCATTGTTCAGAATGTGAAGCTGTCAGCATTTTCTGTTGGTCACTGCAACCAGAACTCAGTGTTCTCTGTAACTTGGATTTTGGCTCTTTAGAAAATCTCTTGCCAGTTTTACAGGGGATGGGAGGGACAGCTGTTCTCCTGGGGCTCCCTCTGTTCCCTCTTGTATTCCATAGCCCTGGTGGGGCTCCCATCCTGGGAGGGTGACTGCCCGAATGACCAGCCCTCATCTTTAATTTTTGAGGCAGAGTCTGTGATTGGAGCAATAGCTCATCATTTTGGCTGCACTGGCTGGTCAGTGAACTTCACGGATCTTCGTTTCTCTGCCTCCTCAGCACCAGGATTTCAAGGATGTGCTGTCATACTTGACAACTTTTACCTAGGTTCTGGGGGTTTGAACTTGGGTTCTCATGCTTGCACAGCATACTTTACCTGCCGAGCCATCTCCCCAGGCCTGCAACTAACATTTTTATCACGCTCACGTGTTTCCGACCCTGTTCTAAACTGTTTACACCAATACTGACAGAAACCTTCCACAAGGGGCCCTTCTGTACCCCCACCCTTTACTGAGGAGGAAACTGGGCACAGGGGACTTGAAGAGCGTGTGGAAGGTCACGCAGTCAGCAGGTGGTGTGGTCAGATTGGACCAGACAGTGGGGTCTGGTCTCAGATTTGCTGCTTTTCTGTTTCTTCAGGGGAGCCAGGGGAGGCCCCTGCCCCAGTGGTTTTCTGTGTGAAAGATTGGGCAGCCTTGTACCGCAGCCAGCCACCAAGGCCTCAGGAATGCATGGGGAAAGTGGGGGCATGGGTAGTTGGACGGTGAAAACCCCAGCATCGTCCCTTAGTGATGGGAAGGAACGATGGAGTGAGTCCTGTGATGATGTCTTGGAGTCGGATGGTTGGCTTTCCAAGCCCTCTCTAGAATGCACATGCTGATGTACCATGGGCTGTGCCCCCAGGACCTGCACTGCATACTGTTAGACATACAGCAGGGCCTGCTTCTCTGCCAACCAAGGGCGGGGATGCTGGACCGAGCTGGGCATCAGCAGAGGAGCACCAACTTCCTTTCTTTTAATTTGTTTTTAAGGCAGGGTGTCGTGCTGGTGAGGACGACCTTGATTTCCCGATCTTTCTGCCTTCATGTCCCAAGCACTGGTATTAGGGGTGTATCCCACTGTGCCTGGATTGGAACCATAAGAGTTTTCATGCTGTGTCTTTGACAGGTGTACTCACAGATGACATGTGTGTCTAGCATGTCCTCCACATGCAGTTCCTGCTGAGTCAATAACATGTAGTTTTCTCTTCTCTTCTCAGACAGTGGGCATGGCTCGCCGCCTGCAGCAGCCCCTCCGAGGCGGCGGCTGACTCGGAGACCAGGCTACATGAGAAGCACAGCCGGCCCTGGGATCGGGTTCCCCTCTCCAGCAGTGGGCATGTCATGCCAGATCTCATCAGGGCCGACAGGCCAGGAGCCCCACTACTCACAGCCCAAGGCTGGACAGTGTGGCCCCAGCCCCAGCGGGTGCTGTCAGGTGGTGGGCAGCCCTTTGCTCAAGAGCTCGCTTGTCCCCGCTGTGGCCTCTGTGGGTCACCTTCACCCAGCCCAGAACTCTATGAAAGAAACATCAGTGTACTTTGGGGTTCATTCCAGAAATGGCAACAAGCTACCTGAGAAGCTGACCAGGCCATGTAGGCCTGGGGGCAGTGGATGTTGTCAAGACATTTTATCTTCGGACAGCTCTAAGTCCCTGGCTCCCAGCCTTGGTGTAGCCTGGAACAAGGGATCAAAGGGCCTGGAGACTGTGAAACCTCTGGCAGCACCAGAGCTGAATGGCCCGGCTGATATCCCATCTCTTCCTGGCTCCCAAGACACCTTTTCTTCCTGCTTCAGCTTCATCCGACTCTCCCTCGGTGGTGCTGGGAAACGTGGAGAAGCAGAAGGTTGCCTACCATCCAGAGACACTGAATCCCTTCATCAGAGCCCCCAGGAGATGGCGGCTGAAGCGTCCAGCTCAGACAGATCCCGTGAGGACCCTCGACGTCTCTGGACCTTCAATCTTCAAGCTACTCCAGGCTCGGTGGACTTGGATCAGGTCACAGGGAGCGACAGCAAGCCAGAATGTGGCATAGTCTCTTCCTTGGACACTGGCTTCTCTTCCCAGGTTTCATCCTCAGCTGGTGGGTGGGGCGACCAGGTCAATGGCTGGGCAGGTACCCGAGGATGGGATGCTTTGCTCAGCGAATGGGAGCCCAGGCTACAGGACCATCTACTGATCAACCGCAGGCAGCTGGAGGTGTGTGTCCTTCAGGAGACTGGTACTCCGACTCAGGACTGGGTGGAGGCAGGGGGTGGGGCGGCTGTTCCTGGAAGCAGCAGTGGCTCCTGGGATGGCTGGCTGAAAGGATGTGGTGGCCCTTCTGTCTCCTCTGCCTCTGAGCATGGATGCTCTGCCCTCTGTTCTCTGTCTGTGTGGCTTAGGTGCTGGCATGGACTCGCTGATTGGGCCCATGCTTCTCCGCAACCTCTGACCTGCAGTGCGGTTTGTTTGGTTTAGCTCTGCTGTGAAATAGGAAAATGGGGGCTGGCAAGATGGCTTGGTGGGTAAAGGCACTTGTTGCCAAGCCTGGCAACCAGAGTTTGACCCCCAGGACCCGCAGGGTGGAAGGGGAAAGCAGACTCCTTCAGGGCGTCATCTCCCCTGACCATGCAGTGAGTAGAGGTGATAAAGGACGGCTCTGGGAGGGTAAAGGAGGCAGTCAGCTCAAGTTTGCAAAGCGTGGAATGGGCCCCATCCTCTCCTGCTTTGCTTCACTTGCCCGAAGGGCTGTGTGGATCCCTCCTACAAAGAAACTGTTTTATTTTGGTGTGAACATGTGCTTGTGTGTGTGTGCATATGTGTGCATGCACATGTGTGCCTACATGCATGCATACAATGTGTGAGTATGTGTGTGTGTGTGTGTGTGTGTGTGTGTGTGTGTAGGTTGGGGAGGACAACCTTGGGTGTCGTCTTAACTTCCCATCACTGTGTTGGAGTGCACCGTTTAGGCCAGCGAGTCTCGGGGATTCTCCTGTCTCCTCCTCCCCAGAGCTGGGGTCCCAAGCATGGGTCAGTATGCTTGCGTGAGTTCTGCATTGAGCTCAGGTCTTACACTTTCAAGACAAGAGCTTTACTGACCGCTCCATCCCTGCAGTGCCTGGCTTCAGTGTTAAGGAGCACGTACCAGCCACAGCCCCTTAGAAAGTTGTTCTGGGAGGGAAGGTGTGGCTGCTGGTGATTCTCGACGTCTGCATCCTTTCTTTCTTCTCCTCATTCTATGCTTCCTGTGCTGGGGATAGAACTAGGGCCTTCTGCATGCTAGGTGCCTACCACTGAGTTACAAGTCCAGCCCAAGGCAGTACCTTCAAGTAGGGCCGCAGTCCTTCCTGGGCTGGCCTGGAGACCGCTGTGGTCCATGCCTGGCTCCCCTCGGCTGCTCTTTGAGTTCCCATGTTTACCTTCATGGCTATGCTCTGAGGGTTAGAACAGAGGCCATTTGGCCTGCAGTCTGTGTCCCTTCTCTCCACATAGCTCTTCCTGCCGATAATGGCATAGCTTTGTGGCATTTGTAGCATTCTAAGTATTTCTGGAGAATCATGTTTAAATTATGATTTTTGTTCAAGTAACTTTTTTTTTTAAAAGAAACACACATTTGGCATTGGAAAACTTTATGTTTATGTGGTTTTTAAAAAATAGTTTGAATAGAAGTTTACTTTTAGAAGTTTTCCTTCTAAAAATGGTACTGCTTTTCAGGATTTTAATTTCCTTATTAGATTTTCTATTTATGTGCATGTGGGCGTCATGGTACTTTCATAGAGGTTAGAGAAGAACTTGTGGAAGTCGGGTCTCCATTTCCACTGTGTAGATCTTGGGGATCAACTTCCTCAGGCTGAAGCCAGGGCCTCCACCCTCAAGCCATCAGGACAGCCCAGTTTTGAATAGCTCTTATGCGCTCCTAGATTTTACAAGATGAATGTACTGGAATTTATTCGTAATTTATCTCTTCTGTGTAATTTCTTATGTGTAATTTATGTCTCATGCTTCCCCTTCAAACCAACACAGGTCACTTCCTTAAGTTTAAAGCTTCAGACACTTCAAGAAAAAGCGATCGAGGCTGCTGACTACGATAAGGGTGAGTTCGCATCTGTTTGTAGACATTTTGTCTTTCTCCCTGACACCTGTCTTCCTTCCTCCCCTTCTCGGATTCTGCCTCCTTTGCTCTGGGAGCTGTGTGGTTGACTCTTTAGGGAGTTTCTGCTCTGGGACAGCCGGCTAGCCTGCTGCCCTGTTGGTCTGGGGATTTCAACCACTTGATGGTAGGCTGGACTTTCCTATTGGCCAGGAACAGGTGAGGATCTGCTCTGTAGGAAGCAAACTAACTCGTCACCTGCCTGCCAGTGATGCACAGATCCATGAACTGTACCGACTGGGCACCCATGGGGGCAGCGGAGGTGGGGGTGGGGGAAAGGTGCTGGATGTTGGTGATGGCGTCGTTATGGGGCCTTCTGGCTTCATGCTCTCCAGGATAAGCTAGAGAAATGAATTGCATTTAGGAGATGGCAGACAGTGCCAATGAAACCTCTCATGGTCAAAAAATATCCAAGAGAAGAAGGACAAGTTATAACATGAGGCCAAGAGAGAGTGGGGCCAGTCAGAGAGAGGCCAATGAGGAGCCAAACAGGAGTTGAGCCAGAAAGAGGGGTGCGGACTGGGCACAGATGGATGAAGAAGGGGGAGGTTTTAGGGGTGGCTGATTTGAAAGGAGCCTTAACAACTCTGCTCTATGTGTGTGGGGGTGGTGGTGGTAAGGGAGAGGGCTTAGACTAACTTAAAGATCCTCCAGACAACCGTGGGGTTGACAGGTACTACAGATGGTGACTTGCTTTAGGGTCCAGGACTGGCTGAGAAGTGTAATACAGAGCTGAGGATTCTCTGGAAGTGTTAGCTCAATGCGTAGGCTGTGGCCACTTGGCCTGTTTCTGTTACTCCATCGACTATGCCTTGAGCCATTGGAATTGGGGCCATGTTGGAATCTGTGAGGGACAGTTCCTCCCAGGAACAGAGGTGCACAGTGTCCTGACTGTGTGTGCCTCTGAGCTGCTCTTCAGGGGGTGAGAGGACTTGAGGATGAAGGCGGGGTTTTTCAGGTTCTCCTCTGCCTCCATCCGCAGGCCGTCAGATTTCACACAGTGCTGGGTGAAGGATGAGGGTCAGAGGGAGCAGAAGCTATGAGGCAGAAGTATCTTCCGTGGTAGCCCCTGGGGTCCATGCTACACCATGGGTAGAAGAGAAGCCAGCTCTTCCTGGGTCTGGGCACATTGGTGGTTTGTGTCTGTGAAAGACAGCCCTGGTTCTGATGTCCCCACTACTGCAGCCCTGGTTCTGATATTCTCACTTCTGCAGCCCTGGTTTTGATGCTCCCACTGTTGCAACATTGCAGCCCTGGTTTTGATGCTTGTGAGATATTGCAGTATTGCAGGGGTTTGTTTTCACTGTCAAAGGCTGAGTCTTAGTCCCTCCTCCTTTAGGTCATAGTTCCCACAGTGCAACATTCCATGGACGGAAGCCATGCACACCCTCCACCCCCTCAAGGCCTTTCTGGACTTGGTTCTCCCACTGGTCTTTTTCTAGCCAAGGCCTCACTTCTCTCCCCTTTTTAAAATATTCCTGCCACCCTTTGGGAATGAAATTATGATGCTCTTGTCAGAGAAGTCAGAAAGCAAAGGTGCCTTCCTCCAGAGCTTCTGGAGTGGGCCTTGCACTGTGCATTTTCTCCAGCTTCTAGAAGACTCGGGAACTGAGAATGGAGGAGTTGTGGCTGTAGGGTTTCTTTCATGGAGGGGCAGGCCCCAGGGAAGAGGCTGGGGGTCTTGTGAGGGCAGCTCTTTGGGACCTTGGAGCATACAGAGAGGACAGTTGGTTGGTCCACAGTAAGGCACACCCCACTCTCATCCTGCCCGAGCCTCTGGCCTGCCCAGCTGCCTTGTGAAGTGTGCATCTGGTCACTGGATATTCAGTAAATGCTTCAGGAAGGATTGAGATGTCTTGGTACCCACTATCACCAGCTAGAGGAGGTGAGGAGGAAGCACTCAGGGCTGCTCATGGCCCAGCATCTGTTTATTCTGCTACCCTGGAGTTCATCACAGTAGTGGCGGTGCTGTCCATGGCAGCAGGAGCATATGGTACAGGGTCTTGCATCATGGCTGACCAGAAGGCAGAGAAAACAGACCAAATCCCAAAGGGAGCATATCTTTCAAAGACCCACTCCTACTAACCCCCTGCCATATGCCATGGACTACCACCACCACTACCACAGTGAACTGCAATCCCTCAAATAAACCCTTTCTTCCTTGAGTTTCTTCTGTTAGAACAGAGTAGCAAGAACAGTAACTAATGCAGGGATCTGTGGATTCTCATCGATGATGGGGAGGGGAGGGTCAGTGGGACCTCAGCTGACACCGAGGGTCCCTACTGTAATGAAATTTGTTGAAAGATCCAGGAATATACTTTATTTCTCACCTGGTATCTCCAGGGTTCGTAAAAACTGTTGTGATTGTCCACACGTCCTGTATGAACTTTGTTTCTTTTTGTGTATAGACAACAGCATACTTTGTCTTTATCTCAGGGAAGGCTCTGCAACAATTGTGTATCCCTGTGCACACACAGGAAAGCCACAGGATGGCAATATGTCCCCCAGAGTCTGTTTCTTTTTCTCTTTCTTTCTACTTTCGCTATGGGCTCCAGAGAAAGATTTGGTTGGCAGAGAATAGAAAGTTCCATGTTTTATCTAATCAAAATCACAGCGAGTTTACTCGGCGATGCCTCCTGGGAACCCCCTAAGGATTCTGATTCCATCTCTCCCTCTCCAGGAAAGCCAAGTTCATATTTCTTTCATCTTTGCCAACAGCTGGGAAGGCTTGGGGAAGAAAGAATAATACTTTCGATGTTTGTTTAGGGGCTTTTTCCAAAAGACACTCTGGCTTCATTGTATTAATGCTCACCCCGTGACTGTGGGGGCTGAAGAGCGAGAATGAGACCTGGGGAGAGACCATTGCTCATAGCCTGGGGTATAGAGGAGAGCTTTAGGACGCGGCCGAAGGGAGGGCAAGATTGCCCACAAGGATCCTCCATGTTGCTCTTCCTGATTTATCTCCACAACGTATTCTGTCAGCCCCTGACTTATGCCCGCTGTAACCATGTCTGTCACTTTCCTCCCCAAATGAGCAAGGAGAGGCTGTGAGAAGGGGGGGGGGAGCAAAAATCTCAGGATCTTACCTCCCCCCTAATATGTGTGTTTATTCATGTGTGTGTGTGTGTTCATGTGTGTGTGTGTGTACGTGCGAGTGTATGGAGGCCAGAGCTTTGCTGGGAACTGAACTTGGATCCTCCACAAGGGCACTAAAGCTCTTAACTGCTGAGCAGTTTCTCCATCCTCCACTACGCCTTGGGAAAAACCTGAATCAATGTTGTGGTTTTATAATACTGTTTCTATGTTTAGATATATTCAGATGTGCAAATTCTTGCATTGTGTTACAATTGGCTACATATATATATTTTTTTATCAAGTTGCACACAGTGGTTAGCATAGTGGCGTGCTGTTCAGGTGTGCACCCTGGAGCTGATTGATGCGGCAGGCTGCAGCAGGGAGCAGAGCGGAGTGCAAGGCCTCGCCATGGAACCAAGAGGGCTCTGCAGGCTTCAACATGGGGCTGAGGAACATGGCAGAATGCACCATGGAGTCTGCACCATAGAGCTGAGGGGTGTAGCAAACTGGACGGCAAAGCCAAGGGATGCTGTAGGCTGCATTTCATAGAGAGGTCGAGGGGTGTGGCAAAATGCACTGTGGAGATAGGGTGTGGCTGGCTGTGGCACTAGGCTTGTGCTAATGTATCCCATGGTGGCTGAACAGTGGGGCCACCCCAGGATGCATCCATACTAGACTGTATCTCCAAGTCCTCTGCTGGACTGTAAGAAGCAGCGTGACTTAGGTCTGTATCTACGTCTATCTCTATCTCTATCTCTATCTCTATCTCTATCTCTATCTCTATCTCTATCTCTATCTCTATCTCTATCTCTATCTCTATGAGTTCTACCTCTCTACCTCCAAGCCTGCTCTCACAGATTTGTTTTAAGTTTCTCTGGTTGCCAGTTTCCCAGAGACTTTTGTCCTACTCTTCCCCAGGAAGCAAAATCTCATGTCCTTGGAGGTTTGTGTGTGTGTAACATTTGGTCCCAGTGTAATATTTGGTAACATTCTTTTGGGGGTGGTTGTGAATTTTTACCTGGTAGAGCCTCACTGGAGGGAGGAGGTCACTGGGGACAGGTCTTGAGGGTTTTTGTCTGTCCTCATTTCTGTTCCTGGCGTCTTCCTGCCTGATGCAGTAAGGTGACCAGCAGCTCCGTGCTTCCCTGTTGCAGAGAAGAGCCACCCCCATTTCAATGTGTCCCTGCCGTGATGGATGGTCTCCTCTGAACTATGAGCCCAAACAAGCCTCTCCTAGCTGAGTTCTTTCTGTCACAGCAATGAACTAATACACAGAGTAGCCCTTGATTGATGTCTGATCACGACAGTGTGAAGAGGGTTTGGATGTGGGGCTCTGGAAAGGCTCCATTAGCTGGGTATTATGCGTATAATAAAGAGTGATTGGACCACAACCTGCAATTGAATTGACTGATTGACAGCTTCTGCTGGCAAAGTGTTCCAACTCTTCTACTTTTTGCACGAAGTGACAGAAACAATTAACGTATTCAAAACCTGAAACCCTTAAAAAAACACCTTCATGAGCTGCGAAACATTTGTTGATAATGCATTTATGTGTTTGTTTTCCTTTTCTGTATGTTTTCAGTCGCGGTATCGTGAAATGAGTCGTGAAATACTTGGCGTCCCCCTCTGTCTCTTTGGATGGGGATGGTCCGGCTAGCGCAGTAGAGTGTCCCGGGATGGGCGAGGAGACAGGGTGTCAGTGCAGCAGCTACGGTGTGCCCTGCTGTCTGCTCTTAGGCACCTGTTCGCTCTGGGATAAAACAGAAGCAATACACCTGTTCTCTGGCATGGGAGGAGTAAAACTGATGGTGCTGGGTATGGGCGCCCACAGCTCAAGGCTTGGAAGGAGCGGGCCCCTTTCTTCCTCC